CGGGCAGCGGCGGGCGGGAGCGTGGCACCGCGCCTCGCTGGCTGGGTGCAGTTAAACCGCATTAACGCCCCCTCCGGGCACCGCAGCTTCGGGCTTCTGGCTCGCTGATAAGCTGGCCATGGCGATCAGCGGGCGCACCAGCCCGTCTGTGTGCGGTGTCTGCGGGCGGGGCCTGCCCTGCCGCCCCAGGAAAGGGGGCTCCGGCACACCACGTGTTGGACTCCTCCCTTTTTTTTTTTTTTAAATTGTCCCCTTTTCTTGTCCCTACACTTCCTGGGGGCAAAACCCGACTAAATTCCTTGCTGTTACGCAGAATACTTGAGTGGAAATTGGTCTGTTGCATTTCAGTTACGAATTTCAGTATCGGTAAGAATTGCAAGTACAGTTACTGCTGCAATTATTTGTATTGATTGTTATAATTACTGAAAGGGGACTCATAATACTTATAATTCTCATTTTTATAATGCTTCTGATCTAAGCATCTCAACATTTTCATTATCGCCATTAGCTTTCACATGACAAGTCCTGTAAAGAGGCACTGAGAGTACATGTGAAAGGCCTGAAGTCATACAATAAAGAAGAATCACTAAAAATTAAATTTCAAGTCCCAGAAATTGAGACTCCTCTTACAACCTTATGCCCAATTGTGTTTTCTCCCTTTACCCTTTGGGCTATGTGGTGGGATACCTTACACCCCAAATCAAACTCCTGACTCTGAAAGCCAGTGTGGAAATAATCTGTAGAGGTGTTTTGACCCCAACTAGGAGTCCAGGGAGTCATAAAGGTTTTGTGATCCCCTTGGGTTAAATTAAGATGAAACGACACAAAACAAGTGGTTAAAATGTTTTACTTGCAGTAGAAACAACTTAAACTTGGAAAAGGATAGTAAGCAATGTGGTCTCATTGATAAATCTGTAAGAAAGAAAAGAAAGGAAAGAAAAGAAAAGGAAGGGAGAGAAAGAGAGCTAAAGAATCAGGATCATGATCACAGGTTCCAGTGTTGTCTCAGGTCTGGTAATCTTGAGTGGTGGGTGCACATACAGCAAAGTTTTCTGTCAACTTTTAAGTTCATCTTGTCAGCTGATTTGCATGCGAGACAAAGAGAGGCAAGTATTCCACAAACTTATTTTGGTGAGAGACAAGGAAAAGGTGGAGCATGGGTTCTACATGTGCCTTGGGATTTGGGTGTGTTGACCCTTTTGTGCAGTTGAATCTGTGGTCACAATCCCCCTCTATCACCTTTACCTTTTCCTCAGTTTTTGTTTCCAGTCATTGGCTCCATCAGGTGTTGGTTGTTTTCTTTCTTATTAGTCTTTTAGCTCTTCTTCGAGGCTATAGTCATAAATTAAAGTGTAGTCATTAACCTGAACATAGGATTTTATTCAGTCTACGTCTCCTCCCTTCGAGGCTTATGTAGGGAGTTTGGCTATACATCTGCAAGGGAGCGGAGCCATGCACCCTTCGATACACTCTGCGCTTCCCTAGGCAGATAATTCATTCCTTAGACCAACCACAAAGGCCACAGTTTGTCCTTGAGGCTTCTTCTGTTGATGAATGTTTGAGGGGTTAACTCCTTCATTTCCTCACAAGAGGTAATTTACTCCATTGACACTCTCCACCATAATCCGGCAACCATTGCTGGGACGCAGTCATCTCTTCTATGTCATCCCACAGTGGATTTCATCAAATTAAGACAACCACATCTAACTGAGAATACAGCTGCACATTAGATTGTCTAAACTGTAATATTATTTCCTTATTTTCCAGGCAGCAGGACTCTAATTCTTTAAAAGGTCATTAATGAGTCCTTAGTGTTAAGCTGTCAAGAGCTGCAATTTTTGTCCTAGAAACCACTAACAAAGGCTCCAAATCTGAAACACCTGTACAAAGCATCAGTTTAGTGTTATTTCACAGGGAAAATGGACAGGTGCTTTGTGATCACCTCTACTGTCCGGAGGTTTATGTGGACTGGTTCAGAGCTGGGAACTCCACTTGTATGAAAAATATGAGTTAGAAGATGGGAAATCAGAAATTATAACAAATCTGGATAAGAAGCAGGGAAGGGCCTCTATCTGAAAACAGTTTTGGTTTGCTAGTATCTGAAGACTTCGGTTTTCCTTGGATATCAGCAGTCCAAGTATGGGCCTGATATGAGTGTGGTTTCATGGCTTGTTATTAAATCATGATTTGTCAGGGTGTAACTGCCTCAAAAATCTACTAGTTATGTCTGTTCTCTTGCCAGCAATAGTATGTTCTGCCTCTTCTGCTACCAGAAAATGTACTATGTAAAAAAGGTGAGACACTGTTGGAAGGTTCTCCTTCTGAGAGTTTGTCAGATGAAGCTATCCTAAGGCAACCAACTTGAACTTTCTTCTGCACTGAGTGAATAATGTAAGTTCAGAATGAATCACTACTCCAAGTCAGAATCACAGAATGTGAGGCTGGGAAGCACTTCAACAGATCATTTAGTGCATCTCCAAGCACAAAGGCAGAACGTTGCCTCTTCATGAAAAGCTCTAATAGAGGAGGTTCCACAGCTTTCCAGTTAGTTGCCTCCAGTGTTTTGCTAACTATGCAATTAGGAAATTCTTCCTAGTGTCTGGTCTGGATGTTAACTGCTGTCCGCTAGCAGATGGAAGGACTCTATTACCATGGTGATGGAAATATCATAAAAAATAGAGACAAATAACGTAGAAATCAGGGTGTGAAATGCTTTTTTGAAAAAATGAAGACATCCCAGATCATGACTATAGTTCTGATTTTTTTTTCTACTGAAAGGGTCTTATGGTCTCGTTCTTTTTGTGTTTGTTTGAGCTGCTGGTCTCCTATATAAAATATGTTCTTTCCTGTTTTATAGATGTGCTGATTTCACTCTTACTGTAGCCTCAGTAGCATAATTGTTTTTACACTAAGAGTAGATTTCACCCTTAAGCTTTGTGCTGATAATTTGTAATGTATGCTTCTTTAGTAGCAACTAACTCCATTAAATATTGAGAAAAATGCTGCTGATTTCAGAATGCTGAAGTAGCCCATATTTTTTAGTGGTGTTTTCCTAGCAGGATTCAGTATGCTATTATTTTTAATAAGCTGTGTAATCGTTTTATCTATTTGCTGTTTATTTTTAAAGTATACTACACATCTAAAAGTGTTGAGTATTAAGCCATTACATGATGTATGGGGTATCCAGTTCCATGAAATATTTCACAATATCCTTTGGGTTTGTGAACATACTAAGGGTTAAAACCCTATTTGTATATCTTTGTATGACTATGTATATACACCTTAAGTGTGCCATTTCTGAGTAAACCTCTTGGGGTACCAGGGCATTGAGAGACAGTTTACTTGCCAGGTGGTTTAATTCACTTGCATTAAAGACTAAAATACAGATATTATTATGGGGTTTCATTGTCGTTTTCAAAACCTTGTTCCCAGAAGGTGAAGCCTGAAAAATCAGCTTTTCACATTAATGCTGATTCAGTGTGTCTCTGGGAGCAAATTAGGAAGGTGGCTTGCTGTGCATCTCATGACTCAGCTGCCTCCTTTAATTCCAACTCCCGGCTCCACTGTAGCTCTGCTATACTGCAGGCTCTCAAATCCTCTCCACGGAGCATCTCACTGACTATTTTACTGACCAGGCAACATCTAATTTAATTTGATCAGTTCTGAAGGGCAAGAAATTCAGTATAAACCTTAAAAGTCTCATTACTGACCAAAAAAAAAATGACAAAAAGGGACAGTATTAAATTTCTTCTGGCTAGTTTAATTTAGCATGACCAAAATAAGAAAAGGTTTAATATGTCTCCCTAATAGTGCCTGTCTATTAGAAAGGGAGCAATGGAGACATAGTAGACAAAAAAGAGAGAACAGGATCACCTGTCACAGAGTCAAGTACTTACATCGAGATCTCAGAAGTCAAAAGACAAACTGATTGTGCTTGGACTCAAGAGCCATTTCATTTCAGTGTTGAGATCTAGTGTCTTGGTATAGGTAAGAATATGCCTTAGAGAACATGATGGCCAAGTTAGAAGGGAAGATTTGGCTGATACACCTTAACCAGGAGTCAGACCTGAGTGAAAAATAGTTGTGTTGGGAAGGCAGTTGGGACAGAACGTTGTAGCTTCCACTAAGATTTTATTCTAAGTACTAATGGTAAGGAAATGAGACCTGTCTCTTGAAAAGCTACACGTTCAGCCATAACAATGTAAAATGTGTAGTTATTAGAATAAGGAGCAAAGAACCCCAAAATTAAGGGATACTTATTAAAAAAGGGGGCCTTCTCATTTACACTAAGGACTGTTATGATTATTTACCTTCTTGTGGACAGGTCCTTTTTATACTCTGAAGCTCCTAAAGAACCTTATCCTTCATTGTTGCAGATAATGTTCAGGTAAGTCTCTGCAGACTTACTGTTCTGAAGTTCTGAAGCCAGCTGTATAGTTTATACAGGTTACTGCTTAATGCTGTATAAGGATCCAGTGTTTGTTTTATTGTATGGATACATTAGACCTCCACATGCTAGTATTTTTAGATGCATATTCTTCTAATACATTCACAATCAGAAATGTGATTGCAAAAACAACCCCCAAGTACTGCCTGCATTTGCTATTGCTGTCTATACATCTGATTCTTCTTTCACTTACATTACTGTAAATTAAGGGTAATTCTACTGTTATCAGTGAAGTTACAGTAATGCAGAAGTGACATAATAAAAGGCAAATAAGGTCATGAATCTTTTTTGAGGGATGCTGACTAGTTATTGACACAAAAAAAGCTGTAATTACTGTCAGCAGCATTGCAGAACTAATTAAGTGGCAGAAACTCTTCATGTATTGTCAGCCAAATTATCAGTTCTGATTTTAGGATTTTTATTGTGGGACAGGATTAGTTTTCATTGGAGAAGTGAAAAAACAGGCTAGTTTTTAGGAAGTGAGTTGAACAGACAGTTTTACAGATTTTTTTTAAACTTGTATATCCAGAAAAAACCTTGTCTTTCAGATCATACAGTAGTATCTGAATTCCTAGGTGTAGGGTTACAACTGAGATTATGGTTTGGACTTAAACAAGACAAGAGTCAATGCTACGCTTCAGTTACAATGAGCTCTTTGTCTCTTAGTGGCATATGAAGAACATGAAGTTGGTGAATGGCAGGCTCTCCCATTTAAAGTTTGGTTATAGGTAGGCTCAAGTTTGAGACTTACTGAGGTTAAAGCAGGTGTCTATGGACTTTCACTAAGTAACAAGTGCTCATACTGGGAGATGGAATCTTTTCAGACTACTTTCACCTCCCCTTGTGATTTGCAACAGAATCATTACTGTGATAGGAATTTGGGTTGTGGAGCTAGGGGAGAAGGCACTCATATACATATAGTGCTTAGTATTAATAATAAGTTCAGGTTCAGAGTTAGGGAAAGGGTTAGGCCCTTGTAAGAGAGAAGAGCTAGCATTAGTGCTAGTGTTAGTCTTCAAGCATTTATTTGGCTAAATTAAGGCAGGAAATGTCAATAGGTACTGAAGTAGATTTAGTTTCAAACTTTGTCAAGGGTTGAGTTTTGGTCAGGATTCTCATTAGGACTGAAATACACTGGACTTTTTGCCAGGCCTATTTTACAAGGACAAATTTACATTAATTGAGGGCTGCTATCATCAGTGACTACAGACATATGTTTGTCAGGCTGAAAGCATTTGCTTTCTTCAAGTTAACAAGAGAATCCAGAACAGGTTTAGGGTTAGGATGCAGGTTAAGCTTTGGGTTCTAACTCCTTAAGGAAGGTTAGCCTAGAGTTTCTAATAGGTCTCTGGGTTCACGGTAGCACTCATACTACCACCAAAGCTTGCCAATTACATTCATTTTTGGAGGTGATAAAGGTCTTTTCTTAGTATTAGAATTATGGTCAAGGTAGAATTAGGGTTAGAGTTCAGACTTAGCAAAGGAAGTGAATTAAGGTTAGGCCTGAGTCTGAAAGGGGTGGCTACATGAAATTTACAGCAGGATCTATTGGGATGATGCTGTGTTCAGTTTTAGAATGTGTTGGAGATGGATTTCCTCATTAAGTTTAACATAACAAAGTTAGGATTGGAGTTAATGTTTGGGGTAGGATTCTGATTCTCTTTGTGTATACAAGGAATTGTTCAGAAAGTTGTTAAAAAAGCAGACAAGTTTACTGTTGATATCATCAGGTGTTGATGAACAATTGTTTTTTCAGACTGCTATAGGCCACTAGCTGAGAGCAAACAGTAAAGTTTATGAGCTCTAGACTTAGGGCTAGGATTGGGGTTAGATAATAAATTTGCTAGGAAAGATGAGCTAGGATCAGCCTTCATTTACTGGGATAAAATAACAGGTGTTTTGAGAAGTAGTATTAATTTTGTGGAGGAGGAGGACTGCTTAGTTATCAACAATTATCAACAAGGAGGATGTAGCTTAGTTTAAATATCAGTTAAGGTGATCTCTTAAATCCTAATTCAGGAAACTGAATTTAGTGCAGCAGCTGGAAAATTAAGAGGAACTTAAAGTTTTCCATATAGTTAGAGTCAGAGAGTTTAGTCCTAAGTTTAGGTTGTTAACTGTTACAAGTCAGCAAACTTAAATAGTTTGCTGACTCACATCCTTTTAGCAATTTCTATTATGCACGACACCAACATCATTATTATTTTAAACCAAAAGAGACAGTCAGACATCCATGCCAGATGGGACATCTTACAGGAAACAGTTTTGCATATACAGTATAATCTGAAAAAAAAAAATAAATATATGCCACTCCTCACTGGGTGCCATGTGCTGGAAATATCATGGTACGGAAAATTCAGGCATCTGAAATGGATTTGCAAATTCTTTTGTAGAAACAGGCATAAACAATATTAGGTGTTCTTTTGTGCCTAGCAAATTCCTTGGACTTGCCCCAGGAGAGTACAATGGATCCTATATGCTGCATATAGTTTGTTTATAGGACCTGTTGTTTCTGCTTGACTTCTCTTCAGTCTGTTCCATTTTCTCATCAGTTTGCTTTTGTATTACTTAGAATGTCCTAAGAAAACTCACTGTGCTATTTACTCACCAAAACAGCACACCTGGTAAGAATCTATAGCTTATTCTCACAAATGTAATAAAATAGGAAATTTGAGGAACTGGAATGTGATCTTCAGGAGTACTCAAAGGTAGATTAAACTCTTTTGGCAGTACCACGATTTACAAAACCTAGGGGACAAGATAGCTCTCCAGCAGAGGGCTTCCCTCAGCCACCATAAAAGTGACTCAGAAATACTGGTATTTATGCCATAACAAGGCATTCACCCCCATGATGATATTCTGCCTGGGTTGGGGTCCATGACAAAGGATAATGGGTCTGTTATTTATATGCTTTCCTATTTTATTATTGACCTGTCTTTCACTTGTTTGTGCTATTACAGGTCTGCCGCTATGCACAGACGTGACAGGGATCACATGCTAGGAACTCCCACCCACCCACAACCAGAACCACTCTCATTTCTGTTTTCTTGAAATAAAACCCTCTTCCTCTTTGTTTCTTTCTCTCTTTTTCTCTTTTATAGAAATTTGAGTATTTTTAAAATACAAGCACATTCCTGGATAAGTTGGCTAAAGAGGAGTTAGCATGCAATTGGATATAGAGGCCAAGGATACTTGAATCATTTGAAACTAATGAGTTCACTAGATCAAACACTGCTTGAAGATTCAAGAAAAAAATGTGGAAAAGGTGGAGAATAGTTCTTTTAAAACCCTGTAATTGATAAGCAAGTGCAGCCCAATGGTTGCAATCTTTATGAGAGATTATGACCTTTTTCCATTACTCACATGCAAAAATGTTAGGCTGGGTATTATTCTGAGGTGTTCGCTGGGGCAATATCTTCTCTCACTGGGTAATATTCTGAGCACACATAACTAGAGACAACTAATTCCCACAAAGCTTTTTCCATGCTCACTTAATGTAAGGACAACAGCTGCAGAAGGATGGGTTAGTTCTGGGGGGGACCTTGTTGGGGTGTCAAGAATTTAAGACTATGAGCTCACAGAGCCAGACTGCTACTGAATAAAAAATGGTGTCTGCATGCAACATTGGCCTTTCAAAAGGCTCCTATCTTTCTTCTCCTGCCTGTTTGAAGCAGCACTTACTGCTAAAGAAACTTGTTCACATGTTTAGGTAGTTTTACTTTGCTTGACTGGAATCCATGGGTGTCTCTAGTTTGTATTTCATGGGTCACTTCATGCCTTCTTTCAAAACGGTTCACACTGCAGCAAGTCAGCAGGACTGACCCAAAAGTCAACTGGAGGGTATGTTGCAGATTACAGTTACCCAGGCAGACTGAGTGGTGTAATACGTCCTTAAACAACCTGTGATCAGGTGTTGCGAGGCAGCCGTGTAAATGGAAGGCCACAGCCAGTTGTGTGGCTGCTATTCAGAGGCCGCACAGATTAAACCGTTTAGTCTTATTCGCACAGAATACTCAGAACTTCTTCTCAGTATTCACACTGGGAGAAGCATGAACATGAAGAAAGCACTGCTTGACACAGCTAATAGAAAGTTTCCCGACAGCTTCTTGACTAGAATGCTTCAACACAGACGATTCAGTGGTACAGGGAGGGATCTGCCTGCACGTTTGCAGTAATGCTACAAAAATGCAATGAACCAAAGGGTACAAAATGAGAATAAATTCCATTCAACATTGTGACAAGCCAACAGTCCACAGCATGGCCTGATTCGCTAGGGTTCACATGGATTGCACAGTGCAGAAACAAAAAGCTTTCACATTTTCTAAAACACTTTACATTCTTTTTATTTGCCTCTCGTGCCTGAACTGCCCTTATGGGTTTTCAAACCACTTCTGCTCAGTGCAATCTATTCATCCAGCTAGGGAATAGAAACATTTCCGTGCAATTTACGTAACCAACTAACATGATCAACTTGAATTTCAAATATTAATTGTCAGATGGAGGCAATGACAGAAAGTGACAGGCATAAAATAATCTATAGACAGAATAGATATATATTTTCCCCTCACAATGTATCATCATGAAAAACTATGATTCACTTATAAATTCCAATTCTTCAGGCACCATAGAGAAAAAAAAAAACATTACGGAATCAATACACAGAATGAAAACCAAGCCCCCAAACCTGCAGAAAACAAATAAAAGAATTTGAAAGACTGCCTAAAATCACATCTACTTGGGAGCATTCGATGGAAAGAAAAAACCCAGGCACCACCCATAAGCAAAGCATTCCCTCTGACTTGCTAACCTTTGATCGTAGCTCCTACTGATGTCAGTGTAAGGTTACTGCCTCTTTGAAAATCAAACCTGTTATTTAGGTGATCATAAATGCTATTTGAATTTATCCTAATAGTTAGATGTCGTAGCATCTGGAGTATTGTTACAGCTGGGAGCACATCCGCATTGGGCTTACTAATTTGGAAAAGCCAAGAGATCTGGACGCCCATGCCGAGTAAGATTGGCAGTTTCCGATTATGACATTGTTTTCCTTCGGAATTGTGTTCTTAGGTTGGTTTATGCTTTCTTCCAGCCTTAGCACTTGTTAAACAAGTTTTCTTCACATGAGGGCGCTAAAGCCCCAGCTCCGGAAAGGCAATGCGCGGCTTCGGCTCGCCAGCGGTACTGCTCGGAAGGGTCACAGGACAAAACAAAACAAAACAACCCCCCCAACAACCAAAAACAAAACCAAAAAGACCACTAGAGTGTAAAGAATTATTTTGAGTTACATATATTAACAGGATGAAATCTTGGGTGCTAGAAGTGGAAAGGGGCTATTGTCACACGGGTTGTAACGGCTGGCTGCATGCTGCTGTCTGCCTTGGATCAGAAGATGACCAGGAGCTCGTTCAGGAGTGTCATATCTGTGATCAACACCTCTTCCGCACAGGTGAGCGGACAGATATATGCCAGAGTTAGCCCATTCAGGTGAACCTGAAGTTTTTGTTTGTATCTGCCTCCCTCAGACGTGATCCTAGTCCCTCCCAATCCATCTATGTCTGAATTCAGAGCTACCCCTCAGCTCGGTTTAGTTCCAGGAGTTAATATGTAATTCAGCAGCAGATCTGGTCCTCTCACAGATTTAAAGAATTCTCTTCATTCAGATTATCTTTCTTTTCCCTCTGGCTTCTCTTTGAAAGGCTTTTAATGACATTAATCTACACAGTAGTCTTTTTCTCTTTTATTTTTAAAAGATTTATAAGCAGAGCACCTACTTTCTGTCACTTCTTCACAATTGAATTGTCATTCAAGCTGTAAAATACCAGCTAAACTCAGGAGGTAACAAAAGCAATATTCCACTGATGTCATAAGCAAAGCCACTTTTCATAGCTAAATCACATATGACTAATATATTGGTTATGCTGATGTGCAGGGTTGTAGTTTAAATGTTTCTAATGACGTTCTGTAACTATTTATATGACTACTGCTTAAGAATAATCTCTCAGTTCATTTGAAACATTTACAGTCTGTTTGAGCTAGGAAATTACTTCCCACCATGGGTTCAGATATTTTAAACCCCCTTGTCCTCCTGAAATTTTTCAGCTGTTGCTTGATTTTGCTTGCAATACTATATAAATGTGAATGCAACAAGAAAGGATGTATTAATTACTACACATGCAAAATCCCAGCCTGAATGAAGGGTTGCTGTAAACTGTGGGTCCTTTCAATGCTGATTGCATTGCTAACATTTTTCTGCTACTGATCATAGCACTTTAGCCCCCCTTCCTGGGATAAAGGCAGCATATGTCCCAGATGACCCTCAGCTTTTGAATGCATGCAACAAATTACAGGGGATTTCACTGATTATGTGCACATTATTTCCTTGTAACTGTGGATCTCTTTCTGCTCAGACCTCGCAGCTTTCTGAGTGATTAATGCTGTGACCTGGCTTGTGGCCTCTTCGCAGAGCAATGGCAATGCACCCATGCTTTCTGAGTGTGTGAAAATCAGGTTACTCAAGGTCTCATTTATGCTATTAAAAACTAGATGGCTCAAGTCCTCGTGTAGTTAAGCACAAACACTGAGGTGACCATGTGGAAGAGTAAGTCTCCCTTCTTCATTGTGGGGCTTACTCAGTTGCCTGTCCTACTGACTGTCTATAGAAAAGCAGTTTGTCTTAGAGAAGCTAGTTTTCCACCCACTAGCTATGAAACAATGAGCTCTGTGTGGTCACCTGAATTCCCACATTTCACCGAAGTGGACTTGGAAAGATGGCAGGAGATTATGAGTGCAAAACCTGTCAAAACTGAGAAGCATGAAGGCTCCTTCTAAATGTGCTTGTATGCCCTTTGACAGGTGGGAGAGTTGTCTGCATTTTTTACTAAGCAAGGTATTTCCAGAATGTCTGTGATTATGGACTTGAAGAAATGAAGAAAAAAACTGTAAGGGAAAGTGGTCAGAAAGGGAATGAGATAAATCACCTGAAGATCTTGAACTGTCTTGGGTCTCCTGGGAAGAGAAAAGCGAGATACTCAATGAACATGTCCTCCTACACTGCACATTAGGACAGCACTGCCAACAGTGGCCGTGTCTGATACTGATCACGGTGGGGGACATAAGCAGATACACAGCCTTGTCCCTATTCCATGACATGGAAGCCACACTGCAATAAATGAAGCCAGAGATACAGTTACATTCCCTTAAACCTGCAATATACTGGGCCCTGTCTACAGTGGATTCATCTAATCAACATTCTTTTTAACTCCAGTATTGATCAGTGGCTTGTATCCACCCAATGATTTTATACCAACTGAGCTGTTTTCACTGACACTCGTGTCAGCACGTCTGAAAAAAAGAGAAGATTTTCAGAAGAGAGTGTATCTGATTTGCATACACAGTTACGGAGGCAGAACATAAATCATTGAAATTTATCATTACTGGCTGCTTGTGACACATTTGTTGACCAAATGGCATGGGAGTACCAAACCTGAACCAAATGCCTATCAGATACCTTGCTTGGGGGAGAGAAGAAAGACTTGCAAAAATAAAAATGTTACAACTATGTACCCAGATTACACTGAGCTCCTGCCAGGCACTGTAGAAATACACAACAAACCCCAGATTCTGCCTCCAATTAGAGATGTGCATAATAAAATCTGTGATACCCTATTTTTGTAATATGGCTGCTTTCTTACAGTAAACTGCATAAACACCTGCATGGTAAAACTCTGCCTTGTTCTTAGTATACAGTATGGTATGTCTTTCTGTTTCTGAAAGTTTTAACAGTTCCCATATAAGGAGATACTTGTTCTCATAATAACAGACAGACACTTAACTTTTGGTGTTGTCTTGTCCCCGCCTCTTTCAGACCACTATGTATCTATGGTATTTTATTCTTCACAGAAAATTTCAAGTGCTTGCAACGGCTTCATATGCTTGTCATTTTACAGTGCAACACTGGGAGTTTAGAAATCCATTTAGTATTGGCATATGGTTAAGTAATACCTTACTATAAATAATAAAAAAAAAAAAAAAAAAAAAAAAAAAAAAAAAAAAAAGCGCAGCATTACT